GGCTTCGTCTTGACACTCTCCGTAGATCTTCACGAGGTGTTGCGCCTGATCTTCGGATAGCTTTGTCTTCCCACGTTGAATGTCAATGTATTGAGCAGCTTCTCGAAGTTGTTCGTCGGATCTTTTGAGGATATGGGCTACTTGTTGTTCCGACACACCGGCTCTCCGCTCCAGTTCCTGGATGCGCGTGACATTGCCCTGGTCGTCACGTTCATACGACTCCTGTAGCATAGCCAAATTGCGCTTAGCCTCCTCCACTTCCTGTTTGAGGGTCTTGTTCTCCTGAGTGATCTTAGACGGACTAGAGCCTGTAAGCGATTTGGATCGCCCTTCTTCCTTTCTCAGAGGACTCATGACGCCCTTAACGCTCCTTGTCGGTGTCGATAATGAAGCTGATGACGATCTCTTCTTTTCTCCGTCTTTGGACCACACGGCATGACCAACTTCCTTCCAGGATGAATGTGATAGGTCATGGATAATATCAGAACTTGCACTTTGTTGGGTGTCCGGAGAGTCTGCAATCGCCGGCACTGCAAGCATACCTGTGGAACCGCTGGAACTATCATTTCCGAATGTTGGACCTTAAACAAGGGGAAGTGACAGGGTGACCCTCAGAACCTGCCCTTAGGATGTTTTAGCCTGCGGCTCGGAGATTCTTAGCAGACAAAAACATCTACTATCTAGGGGGCCCTCTATTCTTAGGGGGACGAGAAGGAAACCCTCGAAAGAGGAGAAGGCATCATCTGCGCGACCCCCTGCTAAACTAATCCCTTCCCCTCATCAGAAAACAACCCAAACATGCCAACTGCGCAATTATAACGTCTTATATTATTAGGGGTCCCCGGTTCCAGGCGCTGGGTGTTCAGTGTTGTGTGTTTTTTGCACTTCTGACGGGGACAGGGTCAAAGCCGAGAGGTCTGACAACTGTTTTCAAACAAGGCTCTTCTTTTCTAACAAACGCTGACTGGCTGAGGGCAGCGGGCCTCCTAGAAGAAGACCATCGATAGATCAATACTGGTTTCAAATTGCATGAACTATTCTAGTGAAGGATTGGGCTTTGACAAAAGCATCTATTATGTAGGGCGCCGTCTATGGTAAGGGAACGAAATTACCACAAACGCTCGCTGTCAGCATGCTTGCTCAACGGCATTCATTAGGGGAACCCGTGTTCTTGAGGGAACTTGGCTCCGGCGAATCGTCTTCGCAATTCGTCTTCGGGAGGGGATTCGGCTTCGGGGGAGAATTCGGCTTCGGAGAATTCGTCTTCGCAATTCGTCTTCGGGGGGGAATTCGTCTTCGGGAAATTGCCTTCGCAATTCGTCTTCGGGAGGAATTCGGCTTCGGGAGGGAGCTTGGCTCCGGCGAATTCGTCTTCGCAATTCGTCTTCGGGTTGGAATTCGTCTTGGGGAATTCGTCTTCGCAAATCGCCTTCGGGGGGAAATTCGGCTTCGGGACGGAATTCAGCTTCGGGAATTCGTCTTCGCAATTCGTCTTCGGGTTGGAATTCGTTTTCGGGAATTCGTCTTCGCAATTCGTCTTCGTCTGCGGGTGAAAAAGTGGTACCGCCCCAGCGGCTGCAATGAAGAATTAATCAAATGTCATTTGAACATTAAAAGAAGAAACAATAGAAATGTTGAAGATGACATCTTAATATTTCTTGTTGTTTACGATATCCCACCTCATGATTATGTTAAACAGTTTCTTAAAATCAGTAAGAAACAAGTATGAAATGATTGATTATATATTGAAGATGTTAGTAAATCGCAGAAGGGAAGGGTTTGATGTAAAAGAAGACATTAAATCATATATTGAAAGTGAAAAGTTTAATGTTAATCATACTATAATAATAACATGTAAATATTATATGTTATAATTATATTTCAATAATTGATTTTATTTCTTGTAAAAAAGTATTTAAAGAAATAAACACTATATATTATAGTGGACATGTTATTTAGTTATTCAAAGTGCGAATGGTGTAAAAACTAAAAGGAATGATGTTAATATAACATTGTATAAGTTATTACCCGCCAATCTATGTAATAAAATAAGTGAATATGATGTGTATTGTAATCAATGCTGTATAACAAGAGACCTTGAAAAGTGTTTTTGTTGAAGAGCATAAGGATAAGGGTTATACAAAGTTTCAATTACAATTAAAATTATGTATGCAATACCAAGCAAGATTTCCTATACACTTTTACCATAAGATTTCCAGAAAGTCAGTTGAAAAGAAATTGATAAATTCTTTAGTAATGAAGATTTAATTAAGAGGTTTGGAGGGACAAACGCAATTAAACCATATAAAGCATTTGTCAAAAAAGACCGTTATTTATTTGCATGGATTGACTGGCATTTATTGAGTAAGGATAAAATTAAGGAAGTCTTAAATAAATTTGGAGCATCTAAACATCATGTATGGTATTATTACAAAACTAAATATAGACTATGTCTATTGTTGTATTTATTCTTTTGGGAATATATTTATTCAATAATAGGAAAAGACAATATCAAATATATAGATAAAGATGATATAGATAAATATGTAGATTACATATTTGAAGACATATTGCCTGACTATTATGTTAACCCATAATGATTAAAACCATACTATGATTATAACATTTATACCCTTATATGGTATAATTATAATGTAAGTATAGCGTTTTATATATTGAAGATAAAAATGAAAAAAAAAGGACACCACGCCTAAAAATATATATGATGAAGCTGATGAAACGAAGGAGGAGAGGTTTTTCATAAAATAAATATTTTATGCCCTAACATATGTAAAGCAAAAAGGGCATTATACGGCAATGGAAAGCGAACTGAAAAGATGCCCGAGATGTAGGAAAAATATGATAATAAGCGATTTCAAAGAGGGTAAAAATCATGCGACAAATGTTTAGCTCAAAAACGAGAGGCAAGCAAAAACGAAACAGAATGCGAAGTGTGTAAATGCATGATAAAAAGTGCGAAAACATGAAGAAACGCTGAAGCACTTACGAAATCTTAAGGCACAAGAGGAAGAATTACACCCTGTAAAAATGATTGAGTGTGCCATATGTAAAAAAAAAAAAAAAAAAACATTAGAGAAGACTTATATAAAAGTCATCTAAAATCATTTATGCATAGACAAATGAAAAAATGATGTAGAAAAATCGTGTTGGTATGTTCTTTTGATTTTTGGGAGATGAAAAGAACATATTGCGGCGCCTGCTTTGATTTAGTAAAAAGAATGGTTCTGCCCGAGGGGGGTGAAGTTGTTTGTGCATTGAAAACGTGAAAAAACAAAAACCTAGGGTGGGGACTGGACTTTTGAAAGCAATTTATTGCTAGGCATGCCCCTCGACTACTGAAAGGTCCCACCGCCTTGAAATACATCCACAATGTGGGTGTTGATCAAATCGTTCAACTTTTTCCCCAACAAGTGTGCCTCTGGCGCATCGTGAAGAGCTTGGGGTAAGAGGCCACTTGCAAGCGGTTGGCACCAAGACACGAACGAGAGACGTGAGAATTGGAGAGGCATTCGGCATTCTGGGCGTTCCGCGCCTGCACCTGCCTTATGCCCAGCTCCCCGGTCAGGACAAAGAGGCTGCCCCAGTCGCAGGCCTAAACCGTCAGATGCCAAAAGTCAATGGACTTGAACTGAGTTAAGGAGAAGTTAGTGCTTATCCTTTGATTCTGTCCCTGTAAATTGGATTGTGCACTCGAAACGGCTGAGGCATTACATGATCACCGCATGTCCGGTCCCCTTGGTCTCCCTGCCTCCCGCTCCGGGCGTTCCGCTCTTCGGGGAGACAGAGAACGACTGGAAGCTGCCCGATGCAATGACGGTGTCGAAGCAGATCTGCTTGCAGCGAGCTTTGTTGACAGTCCCACTCAGTCCTACTCAGTCCTACTCAGTCCCGTTAGTCCCCGACCTTCCGAAAGTAGGCAGCGACTTCTCAGGCCTCCGAGTCTCTGGAGTGCGCTCGGACATCTTTGCAGCTTGCGCCTCCCAAAGGTCGGCAGCACCTCCTGTCTGTTCCTGTCTCGGAACGGAGCTTTGCAAAGCGTGCTGACCGGCCCTGCCTAGCGTTTGGATCACAAGCTCCGCCTTAGGGCTCAAATGGGCGTGGCATCCATGCCGCAAATTATGCCCAAGCTGCAGCCGCATGGCTGGCGAAAGCTGATCATCTTGAACGCTCCTCGAATGGCCCTCTGCCCTCTGCCCTCTGTGCTAAAGTCTTGGTGCCCAGCTGGGACAGACTGGTCTCGGGCTTCGCACCTGACGGCAAACTCAAGCAAACTCCGTGGAATTCATTTGTGAATTCCCAGCCTCTTCAACTCGCGCGCCTTCAATTTGTGGGAACCCACTTCCCCCCACATGCGCCGTGGGCACGGACAGGCCTGCATCTTGCCTGATCACTGGAAGCACTGGAAGCACTGGAAGCACTGGAAGCACTGGAAGCACTGGAAGCACTGAAAGGGGCAAAGCCGGGTTGCCGGCCTTTGTGGTGGTACGGATCTCTGCCGCTCCTGAGCGATCGCTCGGCTGGAGAAGGCAGGAGCCAGTCCGAAAAGCCGAGTGGCACATCTTGGCGCCTCAACTCTGATGGCATTTCGGACGGCATGTCTCACGTTTGGAATCATTTTCTCCAAGTGGCTCTCTCAGCCTCGCTCGCTTTGCCTGGTCCTTGACCAAAACTGACGAGCAGACTGGCCAAGCACCTTCTCTCGTGCCAAGAGGCTTCTCACAAACCGGCTGAATGAAGAAGGGAGCAGATTTTTGGCCCACATCGGGATGTCTTAGACATCGCCGGAAGTGAGAAGAAGGTGTGCTTTTTGAAACGTGTCGAGTGGATCGAAAGGTCGAAGCCTACATCTTTGTGAAACGCATCAAAGGAATTCAAAGAATCAATTTGTTCTGCGCTTCGTGCCGAGCCAGAGCAGCTGCGCCAGCGGTGTTCCAAGCAACCCGAACCCGAAACGCGCTGCTTTCGCTCGGCTGGCGGCTTGCGCTAGGACCGTGCTTTCCTTCAAGCTTGTTCTGCGGGTCTGCTCTCGGGGACGCTTCTACATGATCTCTTCCTTAATCGAGCTGTTCTCAAACTCCTTGATGACATCAATTGCCTGGCTCAAGACGCATCTGCTGCGCACCCTATATGTCCAGCCAGTTGTTCGGAGCTTTGTGCTGTTCCGCCTCTGATGGCAACGAGCACTCTTGCCACGAACAAATGCCCCAACTCATGAAGCCCGTCAGTTCTCAAATTTTCGCGTTATTTACTGCGCTCGTCCCGTCTCCGCCCTGTCCCTCCGTCCCTGGCCTCAGGGCGCTCGCGCTGTGCGCGCGCGAGGGCCGTGAGGCCGTCGGCGTCCTTGCGCTGCGCGTCGGCGCCCCGCGCCAGCAGCAGCTGCACCGCCGCCGCGGCCTCGCCCTCGCGGGCGCCCGCGGACGGCGCCGCCGCGAAGGACAGAGGCCCGCGGCCCCGCCGGTTGGTGGCCTCCACATCTGCGCCCTTCCTGACACTACACACGTCACACGTCACACGATACACAACTCCGCAGGTCCAAAGTCACCGAGTTCAGCACAAGCACACTTGGTCAATTCGGCAAAGGAGCGCCAGCAGCAGCTCAATGATGTCCACATTTGCATCCTCTGCAGCTTTCATAAGAGGCGTCCAGCCACGATATCGCTCCTCACAATAGAGTCAATGGCACACCCGACGCACTTGTAGATTGGAGGCAACCAGAGAGCAGGGTACCCTGACCTCGATGGGAGCCGTGTCAAGCAGCTGCTGGACTGCTGCCGCATCGCCCGTCTCCACAGCTGCCCAAAGCGCCGGCTTCCGTGGGCCGCGAGCTTCGCGATCTGGCGTCTCGAAGAAACCAAAACGAAACCAAAACGGAAGGAACGTCGCGAAAAGTGGCCTCGCAAGTGATCCACGTTTGGTCGGCGTCTGCTCCTTGATCGCCTGGCAAGTCACTGGTGCTCGTACAGGTACCGCACACAGGCCAAACGTGGTGCGCGTGGTGCGCGTAGACCGGGCCAAATGCCTTCTCTCGCTTCTCTCGCTGGGCAGTGCCCTTCGAAGAAGGAGGGTGTCACCCATCTCGCCACAGTTGAAAGCGGCGTGATTCGAGAGTTTGTTCTCCAAGGCCTGCGACTGTCTCCTGTCGACTCTCGCGAGTGACAACAGTGACAACAGTGACAACAGTGACGACTCGACAGACTCGACAAACTCATTGTCAAGCTACATGTGAACTGCGAGCGTGAGGGCTGAGAGCGCCTTCTCGGAAGCTCCCAGCAGATCCTTCGGGTCCAGTATGTGCTCGCCTCGCATAGACATATGCCCTTGTGGATGAGTCACACTCGGCCTGCTAGCTTCTCGCACAAGCTGTCAATGTAGGTGGCCTGATTCTATTCTTGGACCTCTGTGGCCTCTGCCTCGCCCCCACTCAATCTCTCTCTCTCTCTCTCGCTTTCAGCCGCACCGTCCGAGAGGTAAGAATCGTCTCGGCAAAGCCGCGCATCATCCTGGATGCAGCTCTCCGCAATGCACCTCCATAAACCTCAATACCCCAACAGGAAACGTCCCAGCCTTCGGGTAACTTTGTGCCCGGGCTAACAGCACGGCCAAAGTTGATGCTCGCGGCTGCGGAGATGACATTCTGCTTCTCGAGTTTGAACGGGAGCCGCCGAATGCCAAGAGTCCACATGGAGTTCACATGGAGTCCACACGGAGTCCAGCGAGTCCAACGGAGTCATGGAGAAACAAAAATGCAAATGTCCGCTGTCACGGACCATCCACTGCAGAGTCCGCGGCTGTCTGCGGGCACCCAGGCTTTGCTTCCAATCTTGTGAGATCCGCGAGCGGGCGCTCCGCGAATTGGCACATGCACAGGAAGAGGAAGGGCTCCGTTATGATCCTGCAGGAAGAAACAACTGCTCGCAGGCCCCGCTTTTCATTCTGAGGCTCCCACCCTTGGATTTTTCGGATTGCGATATCTGAATAATGCCAACAACCTCTGGCGCAGGCCCCAATCAATTCAAGCCAAGAATACGCTGCATTTCAACGCAAAGCTGCGATGAACGAAAGGTAGCCGCGAAGTTTTCTGGCCGCTTTCGCAAAGGATTCTCAACACTAGTCCGGGAAAAGGAAGCCAGGATATTGTTTCAGGAGGCTGTGGTTTTACACTTCTCTTGCTCGTTCATAATTAGCAATCCGGCGTCTCGCTACTTCGCAGGGGCTTCCTGCTTGGCGGGCATGTAAGAAGCAACGTGGGCGCCATGCTAGCCGCAATGAACTGACGGCAGAAAGGGACAGAAACGCGGCAGCTGGGCGATGTACGCGACTGGTCGGCTGGAGTTTGTGGGGCACTGGATGGCGCTTTGGGAATGATATGATAGACAGTGCTTAATTCCCGTAGCTCAACGATACAAAATGGCCATGTGCTTTTTCCTTTTTGTAAGCTTGTGTTCAATGAGCAGCAGTGATGGATGTGTGGAGTGGGCTTGTATGAGGTTTCTTGAGGGTGAGTGAAGTGTCATGGTGACCTGTGCTGCACACAAGAACTTCGCAACTCTGAGTTATGGGTGCACAGCCCACCGCCCTCCAAGCTGCACATATGGCCTGCGCGGGCTATGAGCCGAAGCAAAACCATGATGAGAGTAATGAGGCAACACAACAGACGAAAACTCTGAATCCAAAGCCGGAAAGCAGGTGGCACAGAATGACGAGCTGGCCGTGGATGTGCTGCGCAAGTCGAGAGCTTGCCAACGTTGAGCTCAAGAAAGGGATCGACGTGTCTGACGCGGTTTTGGAATGACAGGCACTGCCGGCAGGGGACCAGGTCCCGTTCGCTCAATTACATGCCTTGGATGCGTGCAGTGGGTGAAGCTAGAACATGCAGCAAGCATCGCGAGCTTCGCATATGTTCGGCTGAACGTGCAGCTAGTACATCTGAGCGTGACTCAGACAGTTCCGACATGTTCGTGCGCCAAGAAGCTTGCAGACCAGGCCAGGCAATTCGGAAACGCATATGGCACACAAATTCGGAAAGGGTAACCAGAAACGTTAAAACTATGTTTTGCAGAGCATGTCAATGTGACTGAATTCAAGCCCTGAGCGTTTCTGGCTCGCGCTTCTTGGAGTGTAGCTTGTCATGAGCGGAACAATGTTACTGAGAACAAGTGAGGCAATGGAAAGGTGGATAGCTTGCGCTTAGAAGAGCCAATGACTTTGTGCAAAAGGCTCTTCATCCACCCTCGCTCCGCTTCTTCCTTGGACAACTTGGCGCAAAAGAACTGCGACCCGGCGCTTGGGTGTTCGCGCGCCCAAAAAACGAAGAACTGCACAGCCAAACAACACGTCAAGCGATGAAAAGCAACGGGGAAGGCGTGCAAGCATCGCACAGGCACTGCAATGCTCCGTTGCAGCTAAGGTTCCGGCAATGAGGGCAAATGCAACGCCCACACAACATATTTTCACATTGGTGTCTCCAAGGGCTGCCCAAACTAGCTGACCCTTGTCCACTTCCTCGGTCTCAGCAGTGTGTCCGTACGTGATACCGCGTGACCCGTCGCATTCCTGTCCTCGTCATCGCTCATCTTGTGCAGCAAGTTCGCTAGCGCGCCGCCAGCCGTGGTGTAGATGACCTGAGGTGAGCCCGTGATTGGGGCATGGGGCATGAGTGGGGCATCATGTCAGAGGTGCAGAGCCAGGAATGCAACTCACCGAAGTTGCTGCGATGAAAGTCCTCTCTCAGTGCTCCGAGGATTTGTTTGGTGCTCTCAGTGCTCTCACAATCACTCCTACATCTGACACCCACTAAAGCAGCTGCCCCATTCACGAAGAAGAAAGGAAAGACCTAAGTACCATCATTGGCGTTCAACATATGGAAAGCATTGCGCAACCCTTTGCAACTTCTAATCCATGGCTGCTGCCATTGTGTACCGCGCAGCGACGAGGTAGGCGAAAGCGTTGTTGCCTTTTGATTTTGACAGCAAAGGTGAAGCCATCATGGCAACACTAAGGGTCAAGCGTACATTGGCCTGGCACGTATATGATAAGCATTTGTGTAAACAATCGCTGTCACTTCTATGCAGTTGTGACTCACCTCAAACTTCTGGTACAGTTGAGAATTCGCAGCCAGTCTTTTCCGCCTTGGCTTGGAATGCAACGTCTCACATCTTCGAAACCATGGCGTCAGAGTGCAACGTGACCACCTCACTTTGAAGACATGTTTGCTGGGAGCTAGGGGCGAGCGGTGCGAGCGGGATCGAATGCATTGAAGGCTGTGGGCCACAGTGACGCAAAGAGTACGCAAAAGTGACCGAGCCCTTCTCACTTCTGACAGCCGGATCGAGTGGACAAATGCTCTGTTGCGGGAAGAGCAATCAGGAGTCGCAGAACTTGCACATCCCGGCAGCACGAAACAAGGCAGGTCTATCATGAGGTGAGGTTGTTGAAAGCAAACGCAGCAGCCGTCTCCGAACACTCTGAAACTGGTTCGCAGTGTGCTCCTAACTTATGACCATATGGAAACATGGACGCGTCCAACATCAGAATTCGCTCAGTTTGGAGCCATCAAGTTCTCAGCTGCAGGCATGTAGTCGCCCAGCACAAAGGTCGTGACAAAGTACGAGATTGTTGCCCCAACCTTTCATCTTATGCTGCGCATCGCGAAAAGTTCTTCACAGTGCCCGAGGACAGCTCGATGTAGCCGCAGTACGCATAGAGGCTGGCATATGGCCTGCTTCGCTACGCCCCTGGCAGTGTCCTGCAAACCGCTGAGGCGGAGGCTGCTTGAAAAGCACACCGCCCAGCAAACTGAGCATAGTGGCCCCTGCGGTCAAAACCGTCTGCAATGCGCATGCGAAAAGCATTCTGAACAGCCCCAGTGCCAAATTGTGCCAAATTGCAACTCTTGCCTGGACAAGTAATGCCAATGACAGTAATCAGCACGCCGATCTCAGGAATGCAAGGCCACACTTCACTGGCTGGGTCAGAACAGGCATCGGACATAACAAAGAGGCGCTATTATTGGGTTCTGGTCCACCAGCGTGATGACGGAGTCATGATTCCTGGACTTGCGTGTGTCTACTTGGCTTTCTACTTCTCATGTGTGAACCCGCGTCCTGCGCAAGCTGGCTATTGTGAGCAGGTGGCTAAACCTGGAATTCGACAAGCCTAAATTTATGAACCCTCAACGGTGAGGAAACGCTGCTGGCCTCAAGTAGAGCCCGATTGACGTCGAGACAACGCATGCCTGAGAAATGCAACCAAACTCCGGGCGTCGCAAGAACGCCTGGCCTTAAAAGCTTGAGTCCTAGCCGCTTAGCGTAGACATGGCAAAAAACTCGGAAAGTCAGTTGAGGCCCCGGCTCCCGCCAAAACTCGCCACCTCCCCTGTCCACTTCAAACCTATCCACAACCTCACGTTTTTGCCGGTGCCTGCGCCTGCTCTTTCTCGCCTTGGGCCCGCAATTCGGCCAAACCCCGCAGTCCAACTGAGGGGCTGACTCGGCATTGCGCAAGAAACCCACACTGTACAGCCACATTTGAGCAAGACTTGCGTGGCAAGCGATTCAAGGGACACGTTTGACACCAACTCCAGCCCACAGGCTCAAGGCACCCCAGCGTTCTGTTGAGGGTCAAAACGTGCAAGCTCTTCAAGAAAAGCCAGGCCCTGAAGACTCTACCAAACCGAAAGGCATAAAAACACGCACCACGCGCACACTGCCGTACGTCAATTTTATCGCAGGATATCGAGCATTCCGCCCTCCTTCCCACCATAAAGAAGCTCTAAACACCTTGGCATTTCACAACGGATCCCTGATACGCCAAGGTCCTGGCCTGTCTTGCTTCTCCTTCAACCAAGCCGGCATCTCCTAATGCATCTCAATGAACGTCGACATTGCGAAATGAAGGCATGCTCCTTGTCGGCATGCGCGCGAATGGCCGCAGTCATCTCTCGAACACCATGTTCATTGCCCTCAAAGCCCCACTTCTCCAGCACGGGCTTCTGCACTTCGAAAGCCACATCCTCTGCTGAAAGTTGAGTGAATATGGCGACTACACGTGACCAGTGTCCTTCGGCCATGAGCGAAACCATAAAACATCGTGAACACCGTTCCTTCAGCCGCATCAGGAACACCGATCGCTCGTACCCAGAATCTCGGGCGCACTTTCGCACCCGCTCCTGACAACTGCACGAACTCGAATGTCACATGTGAGCACTCCGGGTGTCCTGGAACCACTTCTGGCCTTTGTTGCAAGCATGAGCTTCTGCACTGACGGGCAAAGACTGGGGCCAAAGCCATAAGCCGCCGCCAATTCATCCATCAAGTCACCGGCCTCGCAGAGCAAATTGTGTGATACCGACATGTGAACAACATCTCCGACCAGGGCAGCCGTGAGGTGGATCTTCCTTTCCAGAGGTCGCGCCTCTGCAAGAAGGAGCGCTCTTTGAGCTTGCCAGGCTGGCACGAGTCCATTTTGCCTGATTTTTCCCCGTGCCTCTGGTCTCTTTTGATCAGTGACCTGCAAAGAATCCCAATATTGCGGCAAGCACCCCATGGCACGGCGCCTGTGGACGGATCGGCTCTTCCAGCTTCTTGGCTGCCTCGTCTCACGCATTTTGCACGCACTTTGCGCACTTTGCGCGCATTTTGCGCGCCTCTTCCAGCTCTCTGTCGCGGTCAAGGCTGAAAACTCCAGCCTGGAGAGCCAACATCCAAGTTGCCATCCCCGCACCATGTTTGTGTTTTTTCCCCCCAGGTTCGGCGGGCCGTTTGTTGTTCCTAGGTCCCAAGCACCGTCAACATCCCCAGCAATTTCAACCCCGGAATCATGGATAAGAAGCTTTGGCTTTGAGTTTAGGGCGGGTTCAAGGAACCAGCAAAAGATTTGAGTGCTGGCTTAGGGTCGGCTTAAGCTCGGGTTTATGGTGTTGTGGTGGGTTTATGGTGGGTTTAGGGTTGGCTTCGGGTAGGTTTCGTGCTGGTTGCGGGTGGGTTTAGGCTGGCTTAGAAATGCTGTAGTGGTCGGTGACAGGGTCCCCGGTGGTTGGTCGGTCAGTCTGTCGGTTGGTCGGCGGGTGCGTTTTGGGCTTTTGCGGCGGCAATTTGTATGCATTGCCAGCAACCCTCACATCACAGCCAGGATAGCGTTTGTAACCCACCCTAAGCCAGCACTACCAATCCCTACACCGCCGCCAAACTCAAACCTAAACCCACCCAGAATCAATCCTAAACCAACCCCAAACCATTAAGCCAGCACCAAAGAATCCCTAACCCAGCCTAAGCCGACCATAAGCCTCCTAAACACATCCCAAACCAGCCTTCTGAGCAGACCTGAACCAGCTCTAAGCAACCCGTCTCCCAAGCCTAAATCAACCGAAACCAACCCTTTACCAACCCTGAACCAGCGCACAGGCCACCCTAAACGACCAAAAGTGAACCCCAGCAAAATCTAAGCAAACCCTGCACCAACCCTAAAACCCACCCGAAGCCCTCCAAACCTACGAAAAAGCAACTCGGGGCGCAATGATTCCGACGCATCAGAAAAGCAGCTTCGCCGCACCTGAAACGCTCGTCCAAGCATGTCTTGCGTGCTCTGCTTGTGCTTGACGCGAGCAACCTTGATCCTGCCGAGGTGCATGCAACTCTTTCATCTACACTTGCTAAAGGCAAAACCTTCAAACACCGACGTTCTCGAAGCGGCGTACCTCTTGCGCTCTGCTTCGCAGTCTCGCAGGATCCGGCGTCGGTCAGCACCTCCGGCCCCGCTTACAGAGCAAAGCTGAAAGAAACCCAAGATGCAGATAAGGCACACCACTGTGCCACATCCTCAAGCTTTGTTAGCGACTCCTCGGCCTAAATGGCGCACTTGTAAAGCCTGTAAATCGACCTGGACTTGCTCCGCCTCCTTGAACTTGCCAAGCCCTTTCTCGGCTTGCACCTTCCTGCGGTACAGCCGTCAAGCCGTCAAGCCCTTTTGATCTCAAGCTTTTCGCAGTCCTGTACCATGCTTTGTGGTCCTCTTCATCGATTGCCAGTGCAGCTTCTGAAGCATCCTCAGACGCTGACAGCCGACTTGGAAAAAGTTAGCCGCGCCGAGCTTCCAAGGCCGTCTGAAAAAGCTCCAGCTTCAAAGCGGCTTGAGCCTTGTTCCTGGCCGGTTGGCTTTTGGCTTCTGGCCAAGTCGAGTCAAACACGGCTGGCAGTCTTCAGGCAGGCCAAGTGGTAGTCTTTGAGCCACTTTGCCTCGTTCTTCAACTGCTTGTCAACCTCGCCAAACATGTTTGGCCGGTGCGGGTGTATCCGGTGTATTGAAGCCTTCCACTTCTTCATCGCATCGTCCGCTTGACTGTATATGTGCAGGGCCTGGAGGAAGCGAGATCCATGTCGCAGCAGACCCGCATCGCCCGCCTCTTCATACAGGCCTTCTTGAAATCTCAAATTGCCTTCGCGCTTGCACTCCTGCGATGAAGGTCCAAAAGTGGTAAGTGACAGCCGAAAGCCCTTTCAATCACCATGGCAAGTGCTACCAAGCTGGCCAAACGGCCGCTCCTGAGCATATTCTAACACGTGCTTCAGCGTGTGAATGTCAATGTTTTGCGGAAGTTGCTCCTTCTTTCGCTGCTCCTGTGAGTTGCTCAGCCGGTGAAGCAATCGTGTCACATCTCAAGAACGCTGAGGATGTTGCAGCATCCGACATGGCCTTGCACTGGGCATGCCTTGGCTTAATTTCGCCCTCGCAAACACCGACGTGAAGTCAAGCGAAATGCACACCAAGTTTGCCGGCCATTCTTTCTCTAGCTCGACCATGCGCTCCTGGAAACATACGAACTGTCGGCGTATCACGCAACGAAGCTTGCGGAAGAACGCTAGAGGCGAATGCAAATGCGAAATAATAACAATAATAATGATTATAGTGAATGAAAGCGCACAACAACGCTTCATGGGCTCAGCCCGCCTCGCCACCTGCCTGGAAGTTTTCCCGCATTCGCAGCAATTGGTCCATGGTCCTCGCTCAGCCCGCACGTTCCACCCAGCTCCATGGTGCTAAGTGCATCACTCAGATCTGAGCATCCGGCGCGGCATCGCGGAGCTTATCGTGGAAGTGCGTTTGTTTCTTTGCGCACTCGTCAAAAATCATCCACCTTAGTGTGGCTTAAGAGTCGCAAGCTACAAAGAACTAAAAAACAGCAAAATCGCAAATCAGGTGGGAATGGGTGAAGCGCAAATAATCCTCCACAAATCTGATGTGGAACATGGGAGCAATGAGCTTCTTCAGCTCTGCCGGCGCTTCCTGTGTCCCCAAAGCATCAAACGAGAATCCACGCATGAACACAAAGCCATGAAGCAGCGGCATTGTGTCTTGCAAAAAGCTCGGTGCTCAAATTTGGCTCAAGGAAGAACAATCAAGAAGCAACAATCTGTTTCAAACCAGTTGAGCAAGATGAACGCTGTGCTTATATATATATATATATATATATATTTGTATATATGGTACCCCCCCTCCCGGATGTCGACCCTTTCGTCTGTCTTCATCTGTGATGCCCACTATATATGACTGTGCTAAAGCAAAAAAACTCTCCAACTCAACTGATTGAACTATTTAAACCCTTTCGCAGAGGAAAGGTCTGGGGCCAAAACCGTTTAAACCGTTTGAACCCTCACTCAGGTGGAACCCTGGGGGGGGGGCTTTCCTTTGGGAGAGGGGTTAAGCGGCTTAAAGGGTTTAAACAAACTGTTAAAAGAGTTTTAGGCTTTTTGGGATGGGGGCTTTCGTCTGAGAAAGGGTTTTAACGTTTTAAACGGTTTGGGGCCCTGACCCTCTTTGCTGTTGTGTTTAGCGTCTTCTGACTAAACAACTGACTAAAATTTAAGTCGGGCCGATTCAAGATCCGCGGCAAAAAAAAGAAATCTGAGGCTTGCAAATGATCTTAGGACATACGGCTGTTTGTTCTGCTTTCCCCAAAGCCACAAAAAAAGGCAGAAAACACTGCAAACACCTGTGAATTCTGAAAAAGTAATCTGACTAGGATATCCTTCTCAAAGACTATCTTTATTTGGAATGGTTATGTCAAATTAGAATTAGACTTTAAAGGCGGTCTGCTTTTCTTTCATTGAACTTAAGGAAATACTCCTAGTAGGATGTCCCAATTTAAAGAGAATCTAGATAGGTGTTCCTGTTCAAAGTATATCTGTAATAAATCCAATGAAACCCTTCCTTTAAAACAAGCCTATCTAAATTAACGCTAAAACCAGAAACTTTACTAGAACTATGTCAATATTGAATTATATTAAATTATGTTCAACGAATATATAGTTGACAACGTATCAAATTATACTTTTGTTCATTCAAATTAGATTCTAAAGGGGGTCTCTTTCTCCAGGATTGTGTTTGCAACTCCTATACAATTTAAGTGGAGTTTAAGAAGGAAATAACCCTAATACGAGCTCTAGTGTAAAAACAAGCTAAATAGGTTTTCCCTGTCAAAGTCGAATTTGAAATTGGATTCTACAGCGTGTTCTAGTTGCATTTATTGATCAGTCATTAAATAGAATTTAATCAGGACATGCTAGTAGAGTGCTAGTTGGAACGAGACTTTAAGTAGGCTTTTGTTTCAGAAAGATGCATTCTTAATTGGAATTCTTGCTTCACATTCGCTTTGAAGCAGGCCTCTTTCTCTAGGTAGGATTCAGCTTTCCAAGTTGGAATCTAGATAGAAATTGACAGTGAAACATCCTACTATAATATCTTGTTTTAAAGGTGATGTAAGCAGGATTTCCAGTTGGAAGAATATGCTTAACTGTGATTCTTAATTCAAACCAGACTTTAAAAAGGACTTCAAAGTTTGATCGGGCACCTTTTTTGGCTGCTTTCCCCAAAGCACAAAGAAAGTATAAAACACCGCAAATACCGTTGAAACCAAAAAAAGGTCGACAGGGGGGGGGGGGGTAGCATATATAGATATATGCCTCAATTAGAAAGTACGATTAAATATAGTAAGAACAGGTTTCAATCACAACGTCTTTTTTGAACAATTCCTCTGAAGACTGCTGAAACCTAGGTTTGGGGGGATAGCACGTATATATGTATTGTATTATGTATATATTTCTCCTCCAAAGCATCTGCAATTCTCCGCCGATGCTCTCCGCGCTCCTGAACCAAGCTGCGGAGCCAAGAAAAACAACGCTGATGAAGATGAAATAAGTCAAACATGTCTTCCCATGTGTGCAAACAAATACCACGACCAACATCCATTTTTTTCGGCCTGTGAGATGTTTGAAGCACATGTTGGAAACAACATATGGGCAGTGGGTAAACAACCACCACACCTGGTGGAAGGAAAGTTCCTTCGCTGCGGGAGAAAAAGAAGAAAAAAAACGACTGCGCTCGCGCCAGCAAAGCGGAATATAGAAATAAACAAATATATATATATATATATGCTGGATTTGCTCTCTCTTTCGAGGGAAGGCGTGTTTGTGTGTTAGACACATTTTTCAATGAGAAAAGAAAGTTGGCTGTGCCGGCCCTTGTTCCATTGTTCAGTGACCTTTGAGTTGTAGGTTGCGACACTTTCTCGCATTTCATCTTGCGATGACCATAAATGACAGACCCTGAAGAAATCCAAAGCCCACCCTAAACCCACCTTTCGGATTGGAGCGGTCTTTCGTGACTCGCCGTGGCATTTCGACCCTGAACCCACCCTAAACCAACCCTAGAACCACGATACACCCGCCCAAAGGAATCTACTTGACGAGCGGCCTGGTGCGGTTGGCGCATGGGAAGGCTGGGCCGACTTGCCGAACAAGATCGGTTTTGAGGTTCTGGCTCTATTTGCAGAGAGACCGGCCATGCCCACGGACGGTGGACGGAGGGACGGAGGAAGAGGCGGTCTTTGAGGACGCTTCCGGTTCTCCGGTTGTCTTGGTGGACCTGAAGTCAAAGGCGTGAACGTGCGGAACGCGGAAGGGCATCGGATTTCTGGAGCCGGAGCCCAAGGCTCATGGCTCATCTCCGAGAGAGCTTCAAGCAGGGCGATTGAAAGGAGCCGAACGTGGTAATCGGTGGAAAATGGACGATGAGGAAAAGCTCAGAACGTTAAAGGAGCTTTCGATATGCGGGAGATTTCTCGTGTCCTGGCAGGATTGCAGAGTGTCAAGAAGCATCAGCCCGGGACCGTCATTGGCCGGATGTGTGGACCTGACGGGGCCTCTTCGGTATGGAAAGGACACGGAAGATAAAGCACTACTTGTTGCGGCGACCTACACCTGGCCTCAGATGCTGACAATTCAGAAAAATGAGGGCGTGACGCTACATGTTCGTATCTTTGCTCTCAAGCTGTAAGGAAACTCCAAGTCGGAAGCCAGTCGGAAGCCAGTGGGAAGCCAGTGGGAAGCCAGGAGAAAAACGGCAACAGTTGAATAAAGTGCGTGCGGTGTCGCTCGGGAAGGCTTTGAGAGCGGACAAAACATGCCTCAAGGACTCAAGGTAAATTTATGTAAATGTCCATACAGGCTTCCCCAAGTCCCACTAGTCGGCACTTGCTTACAAGAAGCAATAGCACACGGGCAAAAAGGCACTGCATCTCACCAGGCTTCAGGGTTAGGCAGAATCGAATGCATGAGTATGGCTCCTCGATCACCCTTCTCTCTTCCAGCCACACCCGTTTTTTCTCCTCGGTACTGCGATGTGATACAGCAACTTGGCAAGTCGACTCGACCTGCCTGCAGGCGCCTCTCCGCTTGGTAAGCCGCCTTGGCATCTGGACGTCGCATGAACTCATTCCAGAAGGCCTGCAACAAGGGAGTTGACCTCACACCTTCACAAGTCAAGCCTGGCTATTGATGTCCCCCGACATTTCTGGAATCCAAACCGAGGAAAACTGATGCTGAACATGCGTGTTGCCGAAAGAGCGTGGACCCTCAAGCGCATCAAACCAGTGTGATAAACGGCGTTGAAAGCAAGCCCAACATGCACCTGGCTCGAGCACAATCACAGGACGGAGCACAAGCATTTGCCAACCATTCATAAGCAGCTGCTTGGAAAGAGCATGTATGGAAGACACATAACATTTCTCTTCTGGCATACGTCCTTTACAGAAAGGTCCCCAGGTCTCTTTTCCAGACCCTGGAGTTTCTACTTGCCTTTGGCTCATGCCGTGCAGCTTTTGCTGTCCTGTCCCTTGCGACCAGCTCACTGGATACAAGCACTCCAGGAAGCAGCGGCAGTTCAGCCTACCATCCGCGCATCCATCTTGTCAACATGCGAGCGTTCAGACGTGGACAATTGAAGCACGGCCGCTTCCTTCATCGGATACGGGTGAATGGCAGCCGGTGGCATGGGCGACCTCAGACTCAAACCGCAAGAACGTCTGAAGATGTTGCAAGTTGTGCTGAGGCCCGTGCACAGACGGAGGAATGGATGATACAGGCACTCCGTAAACATACTTTTCGAGATTGGCCTGAGCAAAAATGCAGGCCGCAAACCGTCATCTTCACCGTCTGCACCTGAGCCTGTTCAGCTTGAAGCGCCGCCAAGTTTGTGTTCTGTGCCATCGCAATGGCCTCTCCAAGAATTCTGGCATATGCATCAGACGCATGCGTGCTAGCCCACGAATTTGAGGGGGCAATGCTCCGAAGCAAGCCGTAAACATCAATACCACAAACAAACCTGCATGCTGATCAGGCTGAAGATGCGGAAAGGGCCCAATTCATTGCAGGTGCCTGAGCCGCTGCTTGTTTTGCAGCAGCCGAAGCTGCTTTGGCAGCAGCAACGGCCTTCAGGCCCATTGCACCTGAAAGCTCAAAGGAATTGCTCGATCCTCGTGGTTGCCAATCGGCCTGCAATGGTCATGTCGATGGGCCTCAGGCAAACAGCCAATCGAGTCTTAAAAATCCACTGGCATGTCCAAGCTACTGGCATGGCTGTCACAGAATCAGCCCATGGCCTTCTCCAAACCTTGTAGCGGTCACAGCTTCTCAATGTCACATGCATCAGATCTCGAACAGCATGCTCCAAAGGTGTGTGGAAATGCATTCCGACTCAAACTGCGCAAGCAAAGCCCAGACGTTGCGATGCTTGAAACCATTGGGAGTTGGCACCGGCAAATCACCAAAAGAAACCCCAGTTCAATAAAGTTTGAGCCTTGCAAGCTGACGATTGCCAGGACGTCAGCAATCTCCGTGCCGAGACGCGTGCTCAAACAAGCGCGAACCAATGCTGAAGCTTGATCCGAGACATCCCCAAGTTGCGAACAAACGCAACGCATCACTGCTTCCAACGCGCTTCCTACTTGTCACATGTGGGCTAGTGGTTGGTGGTCAGAACCATGAGTTGCGCGCAAAAGAAACCAGCCTTATGGAGAGGCAGGGCAGGTAAATGCTTCAAAGGCTGGCTATAGGAAGGGATGTTTCATCTTCCGTTGAACTTGTGTCACAGCCTGATGTTGAACATGGGCAAATGTTTGGAAAGTATCATATCAGGGTTCTTGTTTAGGGGCTTCCCATCTTGCCCTGTCTGCTGGGTGTTACTGCCATTCCTGCGCGGATGCCAAAAAGTGAAGCATGTGTGTAATGCATGAACTCATGCGGTGTTTCTATTGGCTCGGGTTTTTTATTAACCACCGTTCGACACAAAGACCATGCATCTATTGTCAGCTGGGCCCTGCCGGGTTGCGGGCAAAAACCGGCATTTGCTTGCCTGGTTCGATCAGGGTCCGGCCACATCCCAGCATCCCCGGCCTCACTTCACCTACATGGGACTTTCTGCGGTTTAACACCTTGGCACGGCAAGATTTGTTGACATTGCTCATCGATTTGTCTACAATAAATTCACATGTTTCACACCATTTTTTCACCTACCCTGTTTCAAAAAGATCCATTTCATATTTTGTCCAAAAAGATATTCTCAAAAAAATATCTTCCAAACTACATTTTCCCAAAATCGTTTATCCTCATTCAAAGAACTAGACCACGGTTGGCCCGAAAGCATAACATCGCAAGCGAGGTCGGCCCAACGCTGCAGGATGCGTTTTTTTCCCCTCCACGAAGCATTTGTGAAGCAAGCGCGAGACAGCACCAGGCAAGGTGCTCTGCGCAAACTGGTCGGCGCAAGTTGGTCTGCGCAAGTTGCTCTACGCAAGTTGCACTGTGCAAGTTGCTCTGCGCAAGTTGTTCCGCGCAAGTTGCTCCGGGTTGGCCCTTGCAAGTGGCTCCCTGCAAGTTGCTCTGTGCAAATTGCGCTCCCTGCAAGTTGCTCTGTGCAAGCTGCTCTGTGCAAGTTGCTCTGTGCAAGTTGCTTTGCGTAAGTTGCTCTGCGCAAGTTGCTCTAGGCAAGGCGCTTTGCGCACACTGGTCGGTGCAAGTTGGTCTGCGCAAGTTGCTCTGTGCAACTTGCTCTGCGCAAGTTGCTCTGCGCAAGTTGCTTTAAAAATGCAAGTTGCATCTTGCGACGCCCGCCCGCGGACCAGGGAGCAATCGAACCCGCGACCAGCCGGTTCCGGGAGCAGGCGCGCGAACCACGAGACAACTTCCGAGGACCAGTTCGAACAACAAAAGTCGCAAAAAACCTTGAGTTTTTGCACCTCGACCACGCCGATTCCCGCAGAGGGTTGCGCGAGCACCGCAGAAATCACAAAAAACCTCGTTTTTGCACCTGGACCACGCCGATCCCCGCAGAGGGTCGCGCGGGAACTTTAGAAATCGCAAAAAACCATGGGTTTTTGCACCTCGACCACGCCGATCCCCGCAGAGGGTCGATTTTCGTGTAGTGTCGTCGGCACTACCCCGCCGCCCTAAGAAGAGATTTTAACTCCTCGCAAGTCAATTGCACTTGACTCCTTGCACTTGCAACTTGCACTTGACTCCTGCACTTGCAACTTGCACTTGACTCCATGCACTTGCAACTTGCACCTGACTCCTTGCACTTGCAACTTGCACTTGACTCCTTGCACTTGCAACTTGCACTTGACTCCATGCGCAGCTCGCAATGACTCTCATGACTCCTTGCAATGACTCCTTGCAATGACTCCTTGCAATGACTCCTTGCAATGACTCCTTGCAATGACTCCTTGCAATGACTCCTTGCAATGACTCCTTGCAATGACTCCTTGCAATGACTCCTTGCAATGACTCCTTGCAATGACTCTTTGCAATGACTCCTTGCAATGACTCCTTGCAATGACTCCTTGCAATGACTCCTTGCAATGACTCCTTGCAATGACTCCTTGCAATGACTCCTTGCAATGACTCCTTGCATTGACTTTCATGATGATGATTCCTTGCAATGACACCTTGTAATGACTCTCATGAGAACAACTCAAGTGAACCCAGCGGAAGAACCCATCGCCATGCTTTCGGGAAATATGTTTAATTTCCAATATCACATACCCTCATTCATTCTATTGCCTAAAATATATTTAATTATATTAGTCTTCTCATTTGCTTTATACATGTTTTGACCAATGTTTCCAACCCAATCTTTTCAATCATTGCATACCAAAAAATAGTTTGTATATACACCTCATTCATTTTCATCAACAAATATTGGCATTATCTTTACCTAATTCATTATACAAAAAACACATTGCCAAAAAATAATATGTCTATAGTTCATTCAATATTTATAATTCCAAAAAATATCAAAATACATGTGCCAAACAATTAAAGCAATATTTTCCAGAAAATAACAAAATGATTTGCCAAAATATTTCAAAGTATTTCCAAAAAATGTCAAAATACATTCTCCGAATAATTATATAATAATTTATTTCCCTAACTGGGCGATTGCTCAAACTGAGCATTACATAGATATGTATCAAATTTCGTGGGTCCCTTCTGGAAGCCGTTTTTCCATTTCCGACAAAAAAATAAACACGAAATCCAAAGAATACATTCTTGGAGTTGCCAAATTGTCAACAAAGACAACCTACGATTTCACCCACGGAGGCAAAGCGAAATAGACGATGGATAATGTGCCAAAGGCAAAGCTTTTAATCATCGTTGGCATCAGATTGATTGAAGTAAACCATCCATGGTATCATGTGGCCCCAGGGCCCCATGCCAAAGCCACATGGGTCCCACATGGGTCCCCTCAACATGTGTCAACACCCAGTTAGCCCTACTTCCCAAGCCGCCCCAGCCCAAACCCTAAGGATTCAACAGTGGATGGAGCTCAACACGAACAGCCTCAAAAAACCCTCTCCAAAACACATAGGAACAAAAGGTGGGACACGCGTGACCGCCACCGCCACCACTGGGCCACCACAATTGAGGATAATGGCCCTGGACCCTGGATCACCCTTTTCACGAAAGAACTGAAAATAAACATATATGGATTCATGTATCAAATACCCAAATGGCCCAAATGGTGCCTTGAGCCTACAGCATTGCTTTTAAATTCCCAATATGCGTGGCACGGGTATAGTTGGGTTTGTTTGGAAACTTCCGTGCCAAATGGATGCCTTGCTTGACCAAAGTTGATTGCCAAACTGTTGACTCACCACAGGCCCACAAACCAAGCATATGCAGCTCAGCGGAATCAAACAATTCAGGAGTTCAGTTCACAAAACAATAATATCGGCCGATTGGCCGGCCGAAGCGGCAAAAAACGAACAACATGTGTATATATATATATATATGATATTTCATTATTCATCATCATTGTCTGATTAATTATCTAGTCCACTATGAATGCAGGCACGGCATTGGTCACGGCATGCGCCTCAAATGAAAAGGTCGCCTCGATGGCTCTGTACTGTACATAGCTTTTCGCACGAAAGTCTTCGCTGCAAGTTGCAAGGCCAAAATCAGATATATCCTCCAGCTCCATCTTCATCTGTGTTCTCGGATCCGCACCGCCAGCTTTCCTCCATTCGCCGTTCAACTCGATGCACTTCTGCTGATACAGCTGCAATTCGCATCAATAGCTGATCTTTCCTGACATCCATACTGGAGATGGCCCGCGCGTTGTAATCCGCCATGTCCTGGTATATCTCGTCTTCACAGAATGTTCGCAATGTCCTCAGCTCAGCTGAGAACTTCCCGATCAGCTTTCTCTCACGCCATCTGGTCCAAATGAAGAGAGAAATGATGAAAATACATGACAGCCACCAATCTGAAATCCAGCGGTAAAATGCAACATCCTTCATGTACTGCATGTATTGAATGTATTGCATGTACTCGCACGCCATCTCCCGCATGCTCGACAGACAAATGAAGAGAGAACTGATGAAAATACATGACAGCCACCAATCTGAAATCCAGCGGTAAAATGCAACATCCTTCATGTACTGCATGTATTGCATGTACTCGCACGCCATCTCCCGCATGCTCGACAGACTCGACATAGCCATGCTCAAGTTTATTCAAGGCAAGGCTCCCATAGCTGTATCCGTATATATAAGTGTTGTGAGGATGTTCAGATGCGTTTAATTTTTCGTTGTGCATTGTGCAGAGTTCCTGTCAGGCTGTAGTGAACAGTTGCATTTACATGAATGAATATGTCTGACGGTTGAATCTGGTGCTGTACATGTTGCGTTTCACGCATGGAGCCGATCAGGTTGGCACACAAAGAGTTTCATGCAGAGCTTGTCAAAGAGCATGACAATCGCAACATCAAGTGTCAAGTGACATCAAGGCAGTTTGTACACGAATGTATGAGCATCATATTTTTCTTGGCGTATTGATGAGTCAGCTCGTAGACGCAGACCGCATCAACGTGTTGCTCAGCTACTGCAGCTCCAGCCCCGCTAAGAGGCACACCATGCGTCAAATTACCCCTGCTACTGCCCATAGAAACACCTATCACACAGGTCCCAACACAGTTCAGGCAGGGCTGGAGCACTGAGCACGTGATATGTCAGGGCATGCAGCATGTCTGCTGTTCATGCCATATTACATAAGCCAAATCCCAGTGCAAGGCTGCTGATAGTCCTAGTCCTATTGTCACAAGTCACACGTTTAAATTTGCTCATTGGCGCAAATTGGCGCTTGTCATTAGCAGCCTTGGCCAAACCCCCTGCTCAACGCCTCAGCCTCAATCCTCACGATCGCACACGCGGGTTCTTGCTTGAAGAAGCCGCTTTGCCTCCTTCCAGGGCGCACAACAAGAAAAAGTTCGAAGATTGTGTGGGTGAGTCCATGTTGGTGCCTTTTGCAAACAAAGTTGGAACAATGCATCTTGGCACTGCGGGGCCTCTTCGTTCGGGGCTTGCTGTG